TAGGAGCGTGCTGTGTGTATATGTAAATAGTTAACAGACGTTTGTGCTCAGGGGCATGTAGCTCCGTTGATGGGTTCGGTGGAACCAGTCAGGTTTGTTGTGCGCTGCAAATGGCTTCTTTCGTGCAGCTCTTTCCACTTGACTGCACTGCTAGGAACTGATTCGGATCACACGGATGCCAGGGGGGCTGTGGTGACTTAAACCAGAGCTCTGTATTATAAATGGGCAAAATGCCCCAGCACTATTTATCCAAAGCACCTACACGTCGGACAAAACAGGCACCCCTTCTTATGCTCTAGTTTGGATCCAAAACACCCCTCGGGTTGGGGTTTCACTTTGCAAAACCAAAACCTGCGCGAGGAGGTTCTGAAAAATATCCAAAGTCAACCCCTCCCTTGGTTCTGCCCATTTCTACAGCCTGTCAGGTCTGTGGCTTAGACCAGCCCAGCCCACATTATGAACCTTAGGAATAATGGACATAGCAGAGTTCATGTGAAACCTTTATGGCATGCAGCCTGTTCAATGGAGTCTGACAGAACATTTTCAACACCGCACCATTCTAGCTGCCCCTCCGAGCGTGGCCGGAGCGAGCCGTCTCCCTGCTCTGCGTCCATACACACAAACACCTCTGCCGTTCAGATAGCAGGTTCTTCACCACTGCGGTAGAACATCTGTGGGCTGAAGCCAGCTCCACACACTGTAAATGGTCAGGGGCTAGACTGTCACTTGGGCTACAAGTCTGCACGGAGGAAGGAGAATTACTGCTGTACCCCAGAACGGGGTGCATGGACCTAGGATCTGGGCACTCATGGTAAAGCAGGTAAGGCACTTACCCACCTAAGCAGGGGGTGGGGTATGGGAGGAACTTTGGATGTTCCCCAGCCAGCGTAGTGCAGCCACCAAAGCAGGTGGATGGGCAGGGATGGACAACGCCTTGGCTCCCACTCAAGACACACCATGCACCAGCCAGCACAGCGAGGCTAGTGCATTGCTGTCCTTATCTGCCGCTGGTACAGGCCAACAGCAAAGTACAACCCCTCAGCTCCAGCAAGGGAGAAGTAGGGATTGTGCCTCAGAGGGGTGTGTCTGAAGTGCAGTGGCTTGTGGTGCTAGACCTAGGGTGATGCATCTTATATGCCCCATTCCAATCAGGGCTATGCCTCAAGGCACAATCTAGCCCTTGTGATCCCCACAGCTCAGCATGGAGCCCCAGGGACCTATACAAGCCAGCCAGGCTCCAGGGCCAGCTAAGCAGATCTGGAGGGCTCTCCCCCTTTGGAAAGGTCAGGCAGTGGCTGATACATCCCCTCATGGCCAGGCAAGGTGCAGCAGCCTCTTGATTCTGGGGTCTCGTGCATTGACAGGCCCTCCAAGCCTGGGGTGACTTGCCCCTTCTCATGACTCAGCCCTCCGGCCAGGTCACTTACAGTCCCCACCTCTTTGGGGGTAGGAGAGTTCAACAAACAAAACAGTCTAATGACCTTCTGGCAGGTCTGCAGCCCACACTGGACTCAATGGTCCTTCTCCCCTTGCATCTGCAGGGCTTTTACCGCCCTTCTGCTGGTGGCTGGCAAGGGTTCCAGTCCAGGGCCCCCATACGGAGCAGCTAAGGTCTGCTCCCTCAGACTCACTGCTGCTTCCCTGGGCCACCTCCTACCTTCAGGGGCCTCCAACTGCTTTTGCAGAGTGACTTATTTCAGAGCTTCGTCTCTGGGGGTTCCAGTTGCTTCCTTGCGTTTGATGCAAACCCCCCCCCCCCCCTCAGATTCCCTGGCCACCCCCTTCTGGTCTGCAGGCTCTTAACCCAGCTAGTGCTGGTCTGCCAATCAGCCACAGCTGAGGAGGTAGCTACTGTGTCTTTTAACCCCTTCCTGGCTGTGGCAGGATAGCGTTTATACACCCCATCAAATGCCCATTCTGCAGGATTGCCTGGTACCTTCTACATCAGTGGGGTCCTGGTCCACGACTATGAACAACCACAGGCAGGCCGGGCGATTTTGTAGGGACCACACGTAGACAAGTCTCCAGCAACTCAATGCTGACTATGGAGGACACATTAGCTTGTTTGTGTGAGCCAGGATGGAATCAACGTGAAGGAAAGAAAGATGGTAAGGGCAAGAACTTCATTGTAAGGCCCAACCTTAAACCAGAGGCAGAAAGGAGCGGTGTGCTTGAGTATAAAGCATTCGTTTGTAGCCCTGGCAGGTGCCTTGTCCCTACCCGCCAGCGCTCAAAACACTCAACCTCCTGGTCTCACCCCCCTGGTGACCAGGCAGCATAAAGGGTTCATTGCATTGGCTGACCTCTGTAGGTCTTACATTGTGGAACAGGGTAAAAAAGGAAGAACTGATAAAAAAAAACAAACAAAACAAAAACACACACAAAAAAAACACGTTAGCGATAGAAACCAACTGGTTTCTAGGCCCTGCAAGCTCGTTGCTCCCAGCCATCAAATGATCTAAAACATTCCTGTCTAGCCTTAGCATTTGGCAAGGTAGCTTCTTTTGAAATCACATGGGAGAGACTTTTGTTTAGCTGGTGAATTGGTACAAAAATGTTTTCAGGACCAGTGACCAGAAAGAAAACACGCTGCTCCCTGCCACACTGAATCAAACTCACCGACTCTAAGCATTTAAAGGGACTATTTAAAGGGCCTGGCATAGCAGGAGCAAGTTTGTCCAGCAGTGTAATTGGCCATTTCTGCTCAGGAGAGGCTCACTGGGAGTTTGTCGGTCCGGACAGAGACCTGTTGGCAGAGCTGCGGGGAAACTTGAAGGTATGTCAACGTCTAGCAGGCGTTAGTTGTTCCCGGTTGCCATGAGCACTATAAATTCACTCCTCCCTGGCCCTCCTGAACTGCTGGGAAGTCAGCTCACCGTGGGCACAGGAACATGTTTTATGGTTATAGACACTATAAAGGAGTCAATGCAAATGGAATCTCCAGGAAGTCACCCACAGTTATGATTCATGGTGGAGCTGCTTCGCTCTCTTACCTCAGTGTACAGTATAAACAATTCCCTCCCCAGGACAGAATTAGTCTTTCCTGTCTCTTTCCAGGTAACTATGTGACTTTAACGCCCTTGTCGTCGCTTGCCAAGCTGCATGATTAACATGGCACAGGCTTTGGGACCACGAAAGACATAGAGGATCTTGTAGGGAAAAAAAAAAAAAAAAAATCATTCAGAGTAACAATCTCTGCCTCCCACGCACATGGCATTTCCCTATTCAAACTCCACATGTTTGGTGAATCTGAGCTCATTTCAGGTGTGTGTGGGGGGGCGCATTGGACCTGCCCATCCGCTATTTACTGCTGTTGGTGCATTGGGTTAGAAGGGGGTCTGCTCTTGGTGCATCAATATCTTTAGTGTATTTACCCTCCCAACACTCCTGAGAGGCCGGGCAGTGCAATTATCCCCACTGTACAGGCGGGAAAGAGGCACATAGAGACAGAGACTTGCCCGTGGGCATACAAGAAGTCTGTGCCAGTGCCAGGAACTGAACTCAGGTCTCTAAAGTCCTAGGCTAGTGCCTGAAACACTGGACTTTACTTCCTGATCTGCAAGAGCTCGAGTGCTCTGAAGTCTATTCTGAGACTAGACACTGTCCAGGAGGCGGCTGCTGGTAGTGGGGACCCTTCAGTGGCCATGGGTAAGATGCTCTGATGCTGGTTCTGGAGTCTCCCATTACTGTGAGGGATTATTATTTTTTCTGTTTTAAAACGTCCCCTTTGTCAAAGAGAAACTACAAACCCCAGCAGGTTGCCACAAAGGACCAAATTCAGCTTAAGTCAATACAACTCCTTTTTAAAGCCATCACAGTTGTATCTAATTATGCAAAGACTGCATTTGGCCCTGGGTTTTTCGCTGGGGACATCCACCACATACAAAGCAGGGTGGCTCGTGCATATAGTATGTGCATATAGGCATGGGACTGTCACTTGTTATTCCATTCTTTTGAGCCAAAGGACCGAAATCAATGAGCTTCCTACCCCCAGAGCACGTCAGAGGGTAGTGATTTGTCAGTTTCAATCTCCTCTGCTGGTTCACCAGTTCAGTGCCAACAAGGTCAGCAGAAGTTCAGCATCACACAGAGGATGAAATAACTAGTTCACATAAAACTAAGTATTTGGTCACCCCTCTGTTCAAACCAGAACTGGACATTTCTGCTGTTCAAAGCTAGTACAGTCAACTTTCCCACCATATATTTTTCAGGATTGAGATGAATAATACATACTATAGAACACAGCTGGGCAAAATCTCTCAGATTAGAAATTTCATCCAATTTAGGTGCCAAAGTTCCAATTTTAATGAAGAAGAGATCAAAATGTTATAAATGTTGACCTATTTTTAGCTAGCTCTTTTGCTAACTGCCCACACACGAGAACCACGCAGGTATTTGAATTTACTCTGCTGTTGTTAAGTTTTATTGGCAGCAATGGAGCCAAATTCCGTACTTTGTTCCATACACGGAAAGCCGGGCATCTTTGAAACCAGACTTTGGCCCATGACATTTCGGGGGTGAGGGTACTGCACTTCAGGTCAGATACTTAGCTGGCAAAAATTGGTGTAGCTCCACTGATTTAAAATCAGTGATTGATCCTGATGGAGCTATGTTGATTTGCACCAGCTGAGTAGCTGGAGCCTCCCCTTCAGACGATAACCAAATGCAGTGGACTACTAGGTTAATAAAATGGGCTGCTCCTTTCTCCTATTGGCTTTGCCCAAACTATTTTTTCTTACCCAGATTTTCAAACCGTTGGCTTTGTCTGTTCTCATGTTAAAAGAGACCTCAGGGATCTGAGCCTGCTATTTCCTTCTGTGAGTCATCAAAGCCTTGAAGTGTGCTTAAAGCATGTACTCACTCCAATCTTTCTTCCTCTTTCTTCCGCAGATCAAAGTCCCGTTGAACCACCTCCCAAACGTGCTTGGCCTCTTCATCTGTTAGCTTGGAAAGATCCAGTTTCCGTCCCATCTTGGCAAGCAGTTGTGTCAGGGGAGCTAAACAACAACGAGAGCAATAAGAATTAAGTCAGTATGGTTATACAAGAGCCAGTCTACATTCAAAGAGACGTTGTCATGTTCTTTGTCAGACAAGGCACATGCTCATGCATCTCCTGGGAGGTATTTCATATTGACAGAGGGAAGGAACTTACTCCACCTCTGTCAACATCCGTATGAGCTGGTTCATTCCAATGGTTTGGTATGTGAGGTGACGTTGTATACAATGGGTGGCCAGTTGTGGCAATGAAAATCACTTGCTGACACAGCCTGCCTTCAGAGAGCGACACTGTAGTGGTATAAGGCCCATGGACAGCTTTCTTGGAATTAGGGGAAGGCTCGATCCCTTTGCCCAGAGTCATACCGAGAGAGCCTGATGCAATTGAGGCCTTCATTTGGAGAGTAAAATGCTTATTAATAATGCTTATTAAACAGGCTGTTTACAAAGTGTACCTGAACTATACAAATCTTAAACATTTCCCAAACAAGTCAAGGCCTGATGTTTGTGAGGGGTTGGGGTGACAGGACTTCTAGAATCTTCTCTGCTTGCCATGGCAGCTATAGGATGAAAAAAAATGTCCTCCCCATGGACTCCAAGGGGAGTAGGGTGGCTTTTGTCAACTTCTTGCCTCTCCTTTCCTTATTTTCTACACTAAACCGCAGGGCGAATGGGTATCAAGCCAATCAGCCCTCAGGCCATGTGGTCCTGGATGTCCCTGCCTGTTGGTGTCTCCCTGCTGGGAGAAGTTTTGCCTGTCAAACTGATGTCAACTACAGCTCCCCGGTCTTTAGCCTGACCCAAACGTCCTCAGAGAGGGTGCCAGCTTTGTCCTGATGTAAGCACTCTACAAACACCTACTACACCCAACTGTCACAGAACAGCTTCCCCCTCTTCCGGTTCGTTGGCTTGTTTCTCTCTCATCTGATTTGGTCCCAGCTTTGTACGGAAGCCAAGCATATTTTGGTTGCAACTTATTTAACAGGGTCATCGTAACATTAATATTGTCACCATGAATTCACTAATGTCGCCACCATAACTTAAAAGACAAGTCTGGTTTCATTGCATGCATGTGATTACTGAAAGGCATAAGGTTTAAATCTCTAGTTGTTATTAACAAGAGCCCTAATACACAGTACAAGCCACAGGGTGCAGGACAACACCTAAAATAATCTGATTGCCACAACAGGCCTAATTATCACCCTTGATTCTCATTCACTTAATAAAACATTTCTCTATCACCGAGTGGGGCTCTCTCCTTGAGAAAGTACTGTGGGTAGCCAGAGGAATCGGTTTTCTTCCTTTGTAGGAGCAAACATTACTTTACATGCTTCCCCGCTCCCCCCCCCCAGGTATTTAAGCCAAGAGGAAGACACACTAAAGAGGTACAAAATTCTGCCAGGATGAGAAGTTCTATCTGCTGAAACCATGCTCTCAACATAGGCCATCACCCAAAATGAGTTCTACCCATGTCACCTCCATTTCAGATAGTCTCCTACAGTCCAGGCTGGAAATTCCTTGACACAGCTAGTTAGCTACTGTATTTCATCTGCCAGGCAAGAGGAAGAGTAATTCAGTCTATCAATTCATTTGGGGGCAACAGATGGACTAACATCAACCAGATTTGGGCCGGAAAAGGACTTTAGGCGAGCTGAATCCAAATTCAAATGAATTTTGTGTAGAACCGGAGTTTTCAGGAGAAGTCAATATCTGAGGTGAGCACATGCTTTTCCTTTGAAGCTGGGAATCTATTTCTAGCTCGTCCGGCTGAGTTGGGAGCCCAATAAGAACAATTAGTTAACTGGCAGAAGTGAGCAATACGTTTATCAGCAAATTACGTAAGCAGATTTGAGAGTGGCTTTGCACCAATGAATCCAAACAGCAGGTCAATAGATGACAATTAGCATCCCAACAAGAGCCTGTCTAAGGGCTTTTGCTGCAATTATCCCAGGACCTCTCAAGCATGGGTTTGCTCCTGTTCTGAATTCATTAATGAGAAGAAGAAGAAAAAAAATACATTCTAACTATTCATACTGTACTGAGTATCTACATGCCTGTTTCCAGTCCCTTCACAAACACAACAGCACATATGCTCCTCAGACAAGGAAGGAAATATTTTGTTGACAAGACAGTCACAACTTTTAGTCCCACTGGGCAAAAGAACAAATGGGGAGTGTCAATTCTCACTATATAGAAACTATAACTTCAAGCAGAATGCAATGATTTGCTTAAAATTGGCATCTATGACCAATTGCTTGCACTACGAGGATGAAAAGTTTGACATCCTGGTCTTACTTTTGTTGCTATTCAAATAAATGGCCATGCTCCCTACTAACTTCAGCAGGAAGAGGATCACTCCTTATTTTACAACGTGGAGTCTCGTCTGAAAAGGACTGTGAACGTGTCTCAATGGCATAGGGTCAGATTCTGCCACCCCCACTTACTGAGTGGCGCCTCCCACCAAGGACATCAATGGGATCGCTTATGAAGGAAGGTACCACTAAGCCCAAGAGCCGAACACTAAGCAGTTAGCATTTGCCTGATTCTCATTCCATTGAAATCAGTAGAACTCTCATTGACTTCACCATTTCAGCCAGGAACATAAGCACAAGGCTTCACTTTAAGAACTGGAGTAGACTCACTGGAATCGCTGTCAATGGAACAGCCGACATGCTCAAGTGGTCTGCTGAACTGAGACAGCAGCAGAGTTGGTCTAACAGTCAGCCCTGGTTTTACAGTCCTTATTAGTGGGGCCTCAATATTGCGGTTTTCAGGTTATTTTTGTCAGCAATGTGCCCACACAGAGGTCAGACATGGCAGCATCACATGAAAATGACATTTGAACGAGAATTCGGGAGCCAAAAAAAGTAAAATAAAATAAATCTTAATATATGGACAGGTTTCAGAGTAGCAGCCGTGTTAGTCTGTATCCGCAAAAAGAACAGGAGTACTTGTGGCACCTTAAAGACTAACAAATTTATTAGAGCATAAGCTTTTGTGGGTTGTAGCCCACGAAAGCTTATGCTCTAATAAATTTGTTAGTCTCTAAGGTGCCACAAGTACTCCTGTTCTTTTTGTTAATATATGGAGATATACCTATCTCAGAACTGGAAGGGACCCCAAAAGGTCATTGAGTCCATCCCCCTGCCTTCACTAGCAGGACCAGGTACTGATTTTGCCCCAGATCCCTAAGTGGCCCCCTCAAGGATTGAACTCACAACCCTGGGTTTACCAGGCCAATGCTCAAACCACTGAGCTATCCTTTCCCCCCTTGATACAGTTCTAGTAAACAAGCTGCCGCCGCTTTTAAATATAAACCTCTCAGAAATCAAATGGGAAAGCTATTGCCTGCTAGTGAACAGCACGTACTAGCTGAAGTTGATTTTTTAATGTTTGTTCATGGACTTTTGCAGCTTTACACAAGAGCATTCACCAGCATGAAAGCCACAAACATAACCGCCTATTTTAAGAAAGAAAATGAAATCAACATGACCATCAGCTGATTTCCTCATCCCTTTCCCTCTTACAAATGTATGAATAAAATGCGCAAAACTCATTAACTTGAGTCAGCAGATGTTTTATGCATCTGGTGACCATGGATGAGTCAAAGGGACTTGATCTCCATCTCATGAAAATCGATGTAGAGCCATGGAAGGATAAGCCAGTTACACCAGCTGAGGATCTGGCCCCAAAGGCTTCAGAATGACAACACTCCTGTAAGATCAGTTTATATAAGGCTTTTTTTTTGGCCATCTCAGCTGATAGCTCTGTTGGTCAGGGGTTTGGATTTCTTCACGCCTGACTGGCATAGGTATGGCGGTGCAAGTTTTCCACGTAGACCAAGCCCAAGAACCACCAGGCTTCTCAAACTAAACTGACAGCTTGATTTTCAGAAGAACGGGAGCCCAAGGCTGCACAAAGCGAGGTGTGCAACTGCATGCCTATTTTGCACACAGGGTTCCCACAACGGTGCACAGAAATCAGACACTTGTGCATACGAGTCAGGCCGCCACTGGCTGGGTATCAATGCGATTATCTGACTTGCAAGCGCTGCTGCAGAACTTGCATATGGGAAAAGCAGCACGTACCACTGAGCCTGCTTAAATGAAGCTGCCTTCGCCTTCATACTCCCAGCGAAACTAATGCACTGCAATGGAGATTTCAGTTCTCCATGTCCTCAGCGTAGTACCTTAAGCAGCCTTAGAGATAGTTCAACAGGAATGAGAGCTCTCATTGTGACAGCCATGAAGGGTGAGGTGCTGTGAGAGTGCTGCTAACTCAAGCCAGGCAGAAAAGGGGGAGCCCCTCGCTGCTTTTAGCTGTATTTCCACCCCACCACACATACACACACCCGCCTTTGAACCCCTGCTTAGTAATAAGTATACATGCATTTTGCACTACAGCTGGGTGAAGTTTTTCAGAACACAAGTGGCAAATTCAGGTCAAATTCGGTGAACAGTTTTGGCTAAAAAAACAACAACAAAAAAACAAAAACTGGAAAAAATTCAAGAAGATGCAAGGATTCGGTTTGGCCAGTTCCAAATGGAATGTTTCAACTTTTCATTTTGAAACAGTGAATTTAGCGGAACTTAAAAAAAAAATAAAAAAAAGTGACAAATACTTGAAAATAACCCAAAATGAAAAATCAGGGGGAAAAAAAAAATACTTGTGGGTGTGTGACAGGGCCACTCACCTCTCGTGAGTGCCCCCTTTTGGGTGGATTCAAACCTGCTCTCTCTTGGCGGTGTCCCCTGTCAGCTGTTGCCCTCGTCAGGTGGGTCTTCAGTGGCTCAGCCCTCTGGCCAAGTCACACCCAGTCAATGTGCATGAACTCCCTGTCCCCTTGCTAATGTCTGCAAACCTTTCTCTGGGCTCAGTTCTCAGCCCTTTCTGGACTAGCTTTAAGTCTGTCCCTGCCTGGGTACAGAGCAGTGACCCCAGGGCTTTCTTTGCCTTTAAATTCTAGCCCTGTGCTTGGGCTTCTAAATTAAACTTGTCCCCT